GTATAACCTCTCCGGCCACTGATCTGAATGGCAGAATCAAGAGAAGGGGAAAAAGGAACAGTTAATGCACTAACAACACGGTAGATGAAAATTAAATCGAAACGTAAAGCGATGCGAACCACGGAATAGAATTTGGTTCCAACAGAAAATATGGAATCCGTTACAGAAATAGTTTTCGGGTCTGAGTGTCCAATACTTGCGAGCAGAAGAAGAAGGAACGAATAAGTTTCGGAATTCGGAATTGATAGCTTCTACTTCTACCTGTATTCGTTTTTCCCACCAGTAATTTTGATTTTTTTTTTTTCGGTTATTAATGTCGCAAAGACATAAATGCCCTTGCTTTCACGTTGCATGACGGAAACACCATTCATTTTTAGACGGTGTTTGGAAACAATTTCTCAGGTTTTCTACTTGATACTAGACCTGTTCATGGGCCGGGTAGCCCGATGGCCCGGCCCGCACCCCGGTCGGGCTTGGTCATGTAATTAGGTTCGCGGGCCTGACCTCGGGCCTAACACAGTAAATCCGACGGTGTTTCGGGCCGGACTCGGAATTTGTCAAAAAAGCCCGGCCCGACCTAACTCAATATTATATATTTTATAAAATACATAATATGTATTTTCTATATTATATAAATAATATAATATTTATAATTTAATATATACATTTTTTAACATTTAGTCGCTTCAGCAATAGTAACAGCATGGGCTAAATTTTGGGCTCGGGCCCAAGCCCGGGCTTTGGGCTTTTTATGAGGGTCGGGCTCGGACTCGGGCCTTAGAAAAATTTGTTAATACAAAGTGAAAGCCCGGCCCGGCCCGGCCAATAAACATGTCTACTTGATACCATTGCTATAGCTTGCGGTGTTGCTTACTTGCCTTCATTGTTTCTCAGGTTTTCTATTTAATTTGTAACCAATTTCCTACCATTAATTTTTCGGTGCATGTCAGCATACAAAAACGGGAAAAACATAAAAAATAGTGTTTTTCATCGGGAAAATTTCCAGTCAATACCCTTTACTTTGGTTCGAGTGACGGTTTGGTCCCGAACTTTAAAATGCCAAAATCAGTACCCAAACTTTCAATTTTCGACAATCCACTACCTATAATTAACTCACCATACCGTTCGTCAGGGCCATCATGTGAGATCAGGTGCACTTTAAATAACTTCATAATGCCAAAAATAACCTTAATGATAATATTTGGACCATTTTACCTTGGGTTTTCAACTTTTCATCTTCTCGGGCCACTTGACGAAGTTGCGGTCGCGGATTTACATCAGTATCTTGGCATGTGAAGCGTTGAGTGGAGTGAAGTTGTGATACGTAGACAGCGGGGTCCTCGGTCTGCGGTCAAGTCAGCGGTCCTGCCTCTTGGTGTCTCGGTCCGATCTTCGGCGATCATGGTCTCTACGCTTCGAGTCATGTTGGTTTTCATCCTCCCTGCGTAGCGCTTGGACCTCTTCAGCATTCATATACTTCTGTACATGCTTCATGAGTGCAGTCAGGTTGGGCGAAGGGTTCTTTTGCAAAGAGAAGTTGAACATTGAGGGGCACAGTCCACTCATGATGGCGGTCACGACCACCAACTGGTTTAAAGTCTGGTCTTGAAGGGCCTTGGCATTGAACCTCGCCAAGTATTTCCTTAGGGYCTCTCCTTCCCTTTATCGTACTTGCATGAGGCATGCCGACGTCTTCTAGTGCCTTTAGCTAGCGATGAACTATGCCAGAAATTGTGTTTCCAACTGCTCCCAGGAGGATATGGACCATGGTGGAAGGGACACGTACTAGGTTCTAGCATCTCCGTGGAGGGTGGCAACAAAGGTCTTGCACATGAGGCCCTTGGAGGAGCCGTGCAGCATTATTATCGCCTTGAACTCTTCAATATGGCGGTTTGGGTCCGTTGCCCAATCGTACTTCTCGAACTAAGGAGGTCGCCATCTAGCTGGAGGAAGCTCGCCAATGATCTCTTGGACAAAGACAAGCTCTTTTGTGGGTTGTTGACCGTGACGTTGCTCTGTTGGTCAGGTCGTCAGAGGGGCTGCACTACGATCTGCTTGGCCGCGTTCCAACTCTATCAATCGTTGTTGTATGTCCCTAATTTCAACGTCCCTTCCCATCGATGCCACGCTGATGGACTTCTTTGCTTTCGAAGCTGCTTGTTGATCTCGAACTAAGCTGGATTTGGCTATCGAGATTGGGGACTGTTGCATGCGCTGGCCAAGTCGTTCTTGCACCGGAATCCTTGTGCCATAGCGATGTGATTTACTATGGGTGTCATGCACATGAGGCCGAGCTGGGGGGATTGGACCTCCGAGATGGTTGCTGACACTCACGGTCGGACTAGGCCTTGTGCCAACCTGTGTTGCTCCTTTTGGAGTCCTCAGTGCGAGGATCAATTGTGGCAAGCACCTACGCGTCAAGGCGAGTGGCTTGGGGGGCGTGTGCCAGTTGTCCCAACGTCTCCATCTTGGTAAGGATACGATCAACTTTTTGTTGCATGGCAAGGAACTAGGTGAAGTTGATCGTTGTTTGATGCTGGTGCTCCCAAGGAAGAGAGCTATGAAGTGAGCAGGATCCCTAAGATGGGGAATGGACTCCATAGCAATCGGATGTGTTCTTAGGCATGGTTGCTTTTAGTGTGCGGAAAAGGTTTTGGGAAATGACTTTTTGTACATTTCCCACTGATTGCACCAATATGATGTTGTCCGATCCAAGGTGTTCTGAATCGATGACACAATCAAATAGTCCCGCTAACCGAACGAGGCCGAGGTGGAAGGACGAAACCGTGCACTGTGATTTGCAACCATGAGAAAGGCCAGAGGCCCGAGGAATTGTTCCCCAATGTAGGTACTCTGACGCTCAAGTCAATAGGATCGAAAAGGATGTGACCGGGCCGAGTAGATTGAAATAGCGTTGGTCCGGGCCGAAGAGATAGTGCAAAGAGGTATTCAAAGAGTGCAGTTCCAAAAGTCCCTTACCTCAAGCAAGGAATACTTATTTATAATTGGGTGTCCGTCGAGGTCTTTGAGTGATTTCTTCTTCCCTAGCGAAGTTCACTTCCTTGTCCATGCAAGATACTCCTTTTTAGTCATGCTCTTTCGTTACGCATGACGATGTTGCCTAAGAAGGAGGCAACTGCGGAGATAGCCATGTGGCATACTTTGCCAGTTCAACCATCACTTGAACAACCCCAACATTTATTGAAATGAAATGCTTACTTAGAGCACTATAAACTGAGGTGGAAGATAGCTTGGGGTGTGTTACTTGAAACACCCATGAAACGCCAATGCTTTTCAATTAAATGTTTATCTAAGAAACACCCCATCTATAAATGCCCACGAAAATAAATGCATACTAAGTAAATCCATTGTAAACTAAGGGCAAGTTTTTGCTCTGGATATCAATAAAAAAATAATAATATTTTTATAAAATAAATAAAATAGGATAACTTTTTTGAAAAAATATCAAGGGCAGATACTGTTCATCGTCTTCCTCTGCCTCTGTATTCATGCAAATACATTGGATTCGAAGCATCAGTGAATCCATTTTATAAAGCCACAGCGCAGATATACTGATTCATCATTCACATTCTCTCTCTCTCTGTGGTTGTTTTTAATAGGTGGTTGGACAGTACACCCCGCCAGGTGCACCGATGACGACTGCGGCAGGGGTACCGGTGACGGACCTCATGTAATTACAATTGGGGAAGCACTTGAAGCGACTGCAATGGTAGCTGGTGACAAGCCAGTCAATCAGAGTGATGCAGCTGCGGTACAAGCAGTGGAGGTGAGAGCTACAGGTCTGAACGTTAACATAACGGGAGGTGTTGGTGCAGAAGCTCAATTTGCAGTGAATGTCAATGAACAGGCCATGCGTGACGAAGACAAGGTTACTTTGGGTGATGTTATCACGGTATAATTCAGTCCCTAGCTAGAGGTATTATATATACGTCTCTGTGTCGTTTTTTGTTCACTGGTTTCATGGTTTGATGAGGGATGAGAGATCGACTGACGTTGGCATTTCCTTTGTCGATTGGCTAGGATGCGACAGCGAAGCTAGTGCGTAATAAACCGGCAACGCGTCGGGACGCTGAAAGGGTGGTTGGTGTGGAGCTTCGGATTAATTCTAATGTGAGCACTCATCCTAGGGGCGTGGCAGCAGCTGTTACAGAGGCCGCTAGACTCAACCAAAACATATAAAGAGAAGATGCTTGGTCTTAATTATTTTTTTGTGTAAGCTAAGCGAGAGATACAGATAGTACTACTCCCTCGCTCTCTCTATGTTTAATTCTTGTATGAAGAAGTCTACAGTAATTTACAGCGTCTGCAACGAGCTTGTGTGTGCGTATAGTATGCTTTTCTCTGCTAAAGAAATAATCTATTTTAATTATGAAACGAAACCCAGTGTTTTTTAATTTGTTATAGCCTTTTGCTCTCAAAACCTTTTGAGTCCCCGCTACATGTATAGTTGAGCCCTGACATGGGCGGATAAGACGAAGAATCCTCCATTTTGCGCACTATGATGGGCGGATAAGAGAAGGAAAAGGAATGAAAGGAACAATGGATTCGCCCATATCAGTGGACACTGTTCCTCTTCTCTTATCCGCCTATATCAGTGTGCAAAACGGAGGAAGACGAGGACAGTGCGCAACTGTGACTTTATAAAATGGATTCATCGAGGCTTCGAATCCAGTGTATTCGTATGAACATAGAGGCAGAGGAAGACGATGAATAGTATCACTGTCCTCTCTTGGTGACGAAATCTATTTCTCACAAATGGGCGCCTCACATGCACATTCACCGTGCATTTCACGGGAGATGTTCCCAATGCATGATAGGATGTGCGTGTGTGGCGCCAGGTGTAAGGAGCAGATACGGTCTCCCTTTCTTAATGTTTTTTCAAAAAAGTTATGTTCTATTTTAATTATTTTATAAAAAATATTACTTTTTATTAATATTCAAGGCAAAATGTTGCTCTTATCTCCTATAAACCCTTTAATAAATCACAATAAATTCTCCAAAGTCCGACCGAGAGAACAGAGAGAGAGACTCAGAGGACAAGGGAGCGCGCGAAAACTAGGGAAAAGTGGAAAGATGATCATTCCTGTTCGCTGCTTCACCTGTGGAAAGGTAATTTGTCTTTATCTATCAACTAATGTCTTAGGGTTTCTGTGCATTTTGATTTAAGCTGCGATTTTTGTTTTTTCGTCTATTTCTTTTTTTTTTTTTTTTTCTCTCCCTCTTTTGTTCTCTCATCTGGTTTTTAGTTTTAGTATGCTGTACTGCCGTTTCTTCTCCTCGAGTTTCGCCTTTGGAGTCGCACTTAGATTTTACAACCATCTCTTCGGTTGTTTTTAGGTGATCGGCAACAAGTGGGATACGTATCTTGATCTTCTCCAGGCCGACTACACCGAGGGGTGAGGAAACTATGTTTTCCGTCTATTGTTTCTTTGATTTAATTAGTCCTCTTAATTCATAATGAGAGATTCTCAGAAATTTGTATCATGGAACAAATTTACATTTGTGGATTTTAAAAGTTAAAAATTGTATGTGCTTTGTGTTATTGGAAGCTGTTGTATCCTTCTTGGCAGTAGGATAGTTGGGATTGAACTACTCATATATACTTGGCACTTATTGTGAGAATTCTGAGATTTGTCCTTAAAACATAAAAAAATGGTTGCTATGGCTCGCAAAATCTGTACTTGTTGGAGTGCTAAATAACTTATTTTCTGTCATGTTTAATCTAGACCCTGCAGTTTATTCGGAGAATGGGAAACGCCTAAACTTAATTATTTGCAAATTGCAAACAACAGAAACAATGTTTTGGATTAAACAGTGAGATGCTTTATTAGTGCAGCTACATGGTTTATAAAGAAGGGTAGAAACATTCATCAAACAGGGAGACTCCATTTTGAGAAAGGGATTATTAGTAGACCTGTTCATATTCTAAGATTTTCATGTCATATTATGGATTTGAACTTTAGTGTTGAGTAAAACTATAGAATTTGTATTGATAAAGAAAAAACTGTAGAATTTGGTCCACTTTAAGAGGTAGTCATAGCGAAATATATAAAGAAGAAAAGTAATATTAGAATCAATTTTGTATAGGGAAAAAATAGTAGAAGCACAGAAGTAGAGATGAAAAAGGAACATAGGAAGGAAATAGAAAAGAAATATGAAAGAAACAAGTTAGACATAAGAACTTAATTTTCTTTTAAGACATTGAAACTTATCTTGGGCTCTTAATGTATGTATGAATGCATCACACCCCCCACCCCCCAGAATTTTTATACACACACACACTAGAATTTTTGCCCCTGTTTCATACACCTCGCATTAGTATCAGCTGTCAAACTTGCACTCCATCACATGGATAAATGCAGCAATGTCTGGTACCATTATGAAATTTCTATATTAGAATCCATAAGGCAGTGTATCATGTTAATTTGTAAATTAGGAAATTGAGATGTTTTTCACCAGAAGCTTTTGAGTGTCAGAATATGAAACAGGCATGAGACATGTACTTTTTTCCATCTAGTAAAATGTATGTTTGATCAATTCTAAGTAAGACCTGTTTGCAGCAGACTTAGAACCACCAACAACCTTGCCAACCTTCTATGCCTTTTAACTTTTGATTGGATATGGAGAACTATGCAAAATTTTGTTTTTGTTGTTTAGTCAGTATATCCCACTTGTCTTGGTAGTAAGAAGACTAAAGCAAGATCCTATATCTATGAGTAGGGCTGTTAAGGGACCTGAAAATCTGTGGTCCCATCTGAAATCTGATCCAATTAATTCAAACTTGGATGGGATATTTTCATTAAGTTATATTGTTTTAACAGATCGGATTTGTATGGGGCAAATAGGATCCAGTTAATAATTGGATTGAATTCGGATGTACCCCAATCCAATCTGATAAAGTCCAACTTATATATTAGTAATTAATTATATATAATATAAATATGTTTATATTAATTATTACGAGTTTTAAGGCTATTGACAAATAACCCAATAACCTATTCCCTTTTGCCTTTTTACAACTTAAGAGTTGAGAGATTTGAACCTAAAAAGAGAAGGGTTTTTTTATGGGTTTGTACAGCTGGGAATAGTGACAGGTAGGGGAATCTATCATAATACAAGGAGGGGTATTGTAGCATAGGTGAGGATATAGGACAATACATTGAGAAAATCAATAAAAATTGTGAGGAGCGAACCATAAATTTCCTAAAACAAAAAGGTTTAAGCAGTAGGCACTACAATCGAAGTCTCTTGCTTTCTTGCTCTTGGAGCCATTGCTGAGAACTACAACTCTCCTGGCTTCTTCATGAAATCTTGCTTCTTCCCCAAATGTAACTCACGGGACCAAAGGTCTAGGTTGCAGGTGCTACAATCAAAGATTGTCTACTTTTTGCTTGTTCAAGATATTGTTGAGAGCTTGTAACTCTTGTGGTTTCTTCATGAAGTTCTGCTTCCACAAATGAAATTCAACGGGGACTGATCCATCTCACTTGAATGTCCGACAATAATCTATGGGAGGATCGCTCAAAGAACGGTTGCCACAAGCATGACATGACCTCCCCTTCCATAGCCTACTCCTCCTTGATCGTCTCTCTAGATTTTCCATTATCTTCTCTCCCCTTTGTCTCTCTTGTCTGGAGAAAATGGTCCCCACTCCTCAACATTGATCCCTGCTTCAATATCAGCCATTTCCATCTGACAGTTTGTTGTCGCCTTCACATTTGCGCCACAATGCACCATTATCAGAGATGAGACTTCATCAACATCTCCTAACCCTAAAACGGAAAGGCTTGCTTATGCAGTATTATATATTAATTAGATTCAGATGATATCAGATAATCTGACAGATCCAATGGAGTTTAATTAGATCCATCATTTCATAGATCAGATCAGATTTCATATCGAATTTGGATGTTAGATGTCTTTAATCAGATCAAATTCGGATGGAGGTACATTATATTCGAATCTGTTCCGATTATAGCCCTATCTATGGCTATGAATTATACTATGATGTGTTCTATGATATGAACTGTGTGTAGTGCAGATGCCCCTCTCCCCACACCACCAAAGAGACAAAAAAAAAATTAAAAAAGAAAGTGTAGTCTGACCTATTAAGAGTAACTAGCTTTTTCTAGAAATTTATTTATCAGTTTTTTTAGATAGAAAAAATTATTAAATAAAAATTAAGGTAACTAACAAATTACCACCCTGTGCTTTGAGGGTACTGACACTTAGTCCCCCAAATTTTCAATTATGAGAGACCCCCCGAACTTTCAGATTTCAACACTTTCCCTGTTAACTGGATTGATGGAGTTAATTTACTAAAATGCCTTTTGAGATTCATATGGGCAAGAGGGCAACTTTTCAAAATAACAAAAATGGCAGGGCAAAGCACATTGTCTCTTTTAAACCCATATTACTTCTAAACCCTAATCAATTAAAACCCTCATTGCTAGTAAGAAGAAAGAAACATTAAGGCTGTGTTTGGTTTGAAGGAAAAAGTAGGGAAAGGAAGGGAAATGTAGGGAAACCTTTACAAGCCTTGTATAGGTTTCCCTAAGTTTCCCTTCCTTTCCCTACTTTTTCCTTCAGACCAAACATAGCCTAAGTAAAGGGTTTATACAAATATATAAGAGAAGGGGCACTAAAAATTAATCAGTTTTCTGTTTACTTCTTTCAGCAAAAATCATCTATGTCCTTGAACATCTACTTATTTATGTATTGTTTACTTTCCCATTGAGCCTTTGAAATTTCCCAGGAGACGAGAGGTATTCAAACGCATGTTCTTTTTTTTTTTTAATTACCTTATTGTTGGTATGCAGAGATGCCCTTGATGCATTGGGATTGGTACGGTACTGCTGCAGAAGAATGCTAATGACTCATGTTGACCTCATAGAGAAATTACTTAACTACAACAGTAATCTCTCTCTCTCTCTCTATCTATCTATACTATACTATGCTATGCTATGCTAAATACCCTAATTTTTTTATTTGGTCCCTCTTGTAAGGATAGAAATGTAATTTCAACAACCACTTTTTTCCTCATTCAGATTCCTCAAATTACATCTTATATTTAAGGTCTTAACTCCCATTAACATTCATTGAATCCTATTATTAACCAGAATACCCCTATTTTTGAATTTGGTCCCTCTCTAACTGTAAGGGCGCATAATGTAACTTGAACTATTACATTTCGCTTTATTAAATTACCTCTCATTAAGTTTTATATTTAGGGTATTAACTCTCATTCTTTCAATGAATCCTATATTAATTAACCATATTAAATAAAAATAAGTGTGATAAAGTTTATCGATGATCTAAATAAAATACAAATTTAAAATTAACCCAAAAATGTAATTGTTTTACTCTTGGGTGGCAATTCAACAATTTAACATTTTGGATCAAATGTGTCAACCCTTGATGTCATAATTAAATAATAATAGAAATTAAAAAATACAAAAGCATAAAAAATTGTAAAAAACATTGGGGCACATCTCTAATATCATATGTTCATCATATTAAGCAAAAATAAATGTGACAAATATGAATAATTTTCATAGACAAAAAATCGTAAAAAAAATAGAAATATATTATGTATTTTTATCATCATCAAAAATTGCCACATACAAAGCACGTGCACACTTACTAGTATATACAAATATTGGATTTATTATTATACACTTACTGCTGACGGTTGTTTTTGCATTGCAGCTTTGGAGAAAACCGAGTCCAGTTGAGCTGGTGTTACCCTTGAAAGGGGTATTTCTGTCTCCGTGGGTATTAGAGCTTGTTCCACACCACATTCTGCCTGTTACTATTATGTCAGTGTTTCATGTTGGAAATAGAATGAGAACTTGAACACTGAAACATATCATGGTTGTGTTAGCTATGGATTAGTGCTCCTCGAACCTATACGGTAATACAGTAATCTGAAAATATGAAATAGTTGACCTTCCATCTTTGATGACACAGTAAACCTCATCTTGGTTCCCTGTTCTTTGGTATTACATGTATGGCACTACCGCACTAGTACTTGTTAAACAGATGATCATCTGGTATTATGGTTCTTTTGGTTTGAAGTTGGGTTTGCATTTCTATGGTTAACAATTTTTAGAGTTGTCTGATTCTTTTAAGGGCATCCCTTACTCTGAGATAAACCAAGTCGGAAACCTTTCCTGCACCATAGCTTTACCCCTTTCACCCTTTTAAGGGCATCCCTTGAAAAGCTTTGAGGCGTTACTGATGAAAGTGAAAAGTTGATTAAATATTTTATCATTCTTTGGCACCTGCTTCACTGAAGAATTTTCACATGATTCAGATGCAGCGACCTCCCCGAATCGAAAAGTATAGGGGAGGTTTCAACTTTCAACAATTTACCCAAAAAAATAAAACTATATATTGCAATAAAAAAGTAGAAAGTACAGAAATTTTATATATAAAAAAAAAATTAGAGTGCATATGATAGTTACTGTTCAATTTAGGGGAGACAGTGCTATTAGCATAAAGTAGGGTACTGAACAGTAACTATTATAAAAGATAGGGGAGGTTTCAAGAATTTACTCAAAATAATAATAATAATAATAAACAGAAAGGGGATCCCATGGTGCTGCACTCTTTACTACAACGTCAAAAAAAGGATGATGACAGGAGAAAAGGGAGGGAAACCCTGGTTTAAAAGTTAAACATTACATAGAGGAAAATTAAGAATTAATTACCCACATTTTACAATGACCAGACCTGAGATTTACTTTACCTAACCCAATCCAAACTTCTTACTACCTAACTGATCTGTGTGGTGACAAAATTCCCCGCAACCAAAAACTCTGAAAGCATGGAAATTCAAACATACATAGGGAACATTTAATATGTGGCTGAATGCTAATTGCTATGTGAAATGAATTTTTTCTCCCAAGAGATCTGAACTCAAGAAAGAGAGGGAAATGTGCAATAAGCCATCCAATTGCCATTCTTATTTCTTACAATTCTAAAATGAATATAAATGAAACCATATTCATAATTTCATATCATCATCCACTCGGTACCAAAATGCATTTGTCTCCTTAAGCCCCAAATAAATCTAACAATCAGAAGTCAGAACGCAAGAGAAGAGACTCAACCGATCGATGTCTCTACTCTCTACAATACTTGTAGTAGAGAAAACATGATTAAACCACCACGAGAGCAACTTAGTTGTCGAATTACTGGATAACTCTATCGTAAAATGCAATAGAGTGATGAAATGCAAATTTTTTTGGGTTGGATTTCATTACCAACCATAGAATGGATATTGGATACTAGTGATTCAAATTAAGGGGGAACCGCAATCAATTGGTTGGAACTTGATGTGGGCTGAGTGCTACTTCCAGAGTTTGTCCACACTCTAATTCCATTATGTTATGCATCCCCGTCAGATGGGCCCATGTACTGTGCCCTACAAGGTTCTGTGGTCAGACAAACACCCAGTGCCCCACTTGCCACATGATTAGTTATTCTTCTCAGGTTCAATCAAGATACCTTATCATCTCAAATACAATACAAAACTGTTCTTACAATGTGAAAAAAAAAATGGCGGATGACTATGGATAGAGAAAGATTAGGAGATGGGCAAATCCAAATCTGGTTCCAACGATTCCGGATCTCCTATTCACAAGAATCTTATCCACACTTACCCACTGGACACTACAGCTATATTGGGATTTGGGAACATCTCCCCATATTATCCGAGCTCGGTCCCAACAGCTATTGCAGCTATACATTGGGAACATCTTACCATGAGGGACAAGAGAGATGTTCCTGGGATTAGATCCGAATTCTACATGGACAAGGCCAACCCACACTGAGCCATGATAACCCAAACCCAGTGACCCAACCCCGTCTCCCTTCCAAAGAGAGAGAATAAAGAAAATTCCTGTTAAATACTGTTCCAAAATTTTCATTCATTTATGTTGAAGCAAATTGAAGCTTCAAGAAATTTTATGATTGTGTCCTTCAAATCAGACCTGACGGTTTATCTGTTGATGGCAATTCAATCCAAATCCATGGGAAAGAAACAAATATAATATGTATAAATGTGAAAGACAGAAAGAGAGATCATCAGATTTATCACGAAAACCATTGACCCTTAAACCGCTCCAGTTTCTCAGTAAAACAAAACATTCTAATTTTTCTGGCTAAATCCACTGGATGGTGATAATGGAAGGGAAGTGTAGTCTTTAAAGGGATGCAACGAGTGATGGAAATGAGATTCATCAATCATCCTCATTCATCAACGTATGGGCCCCCAATCCCTTACATCTGGACAATAGAACCCGTCAGAGGTCAGACTATTGTTCGTCCACTCCAAAGTCCAAACTCCAATGGACGATCAACTTTTAAAAGGTTGCTAGCTTCGTAGGCCCATCGTCCTCACTTTTTCAGAGTAATTAATGAATTAATTAATCTCTTCAGTGTAACTGTATCATCCATCCTTTTTAGAAACAAATCTTTGTTTGCGGGGGATGCAGCTGAGCAACAGAATAGCTTGGTGGGGGCAGTAATTTTATCCATGTTTCAAAGTTCAAACAAAACCATATACTATTCATGTAATTCTTTACATTTTAAGCAAAAAACTTTAGCTTCAGGAATGTGGGGGTCTTTAATTTTTTTTTTTTGGGTGGTGGTCAGTGGGCAGTGTGCACCCTCCAAGGAAATGGGTTTTCAGTTTTGCCCATTTGTAGTCCAACTGTCAAAGTAGGACGGACGTTGGATTGGGCCGCAAGACAGAATACTGGTCTCGTTCATGCATCTTCTAGGTCAGATATTTTGGGCAGCCCAGTACGCTATATTTTGCTTCGGTGTTAGACAGACGGACACGTTTTCTCAGTACTGTAGTAGGTGGTGCCAGGTGGGGTCATCTGGGCGTCTAAACAAATGGCGTGGCTCAGATATAGACACTCGGATCTCCATGATAGAAGGGTCAAGGTGGTTCCCTTGTAGACTAGAGCTGCTACAGTTCCACATTCATTGCACTTGAATGAAGGGGACCCAGAAAAGGCAGATAGGAAGGTGATGGTCAAGTGGCTGTAGAGCTTGCCACGATGGAAGAGTCATCTCCAATCTCAGAGGTGAGAGGCTGAGAGCTCCTCTCTTCACTTGCATTCACAACTCAGAAGGTCACAGTCTTATCTCTCGAAGATGAGGTGAATCCACCCTCGGGATTTCCTGGGCTCTTTTGGCCCTTCGCTTAGATATCTGTGGATAAATAGCCATTTCTTCCCTCAACGCTCTTTGTTATAAAAACCCCATCAAATATCTCTGCTTTCCCTCTCCTCGTGCACTTTTATTTTTATTTTTTTTTCAAGCATTTGTTTGCTTTCTCTCTTTCTCCTCTTCCCTCTTCCTTTCTTGGTTTCTTTAGTACTCTAGGTAGCTCGCTAGCTCCAACTGTTTTGTCCACTTCTAGCTAGTAATTGGAAAGAGAGCAACAAACAATGTATCATGAACATCAACTCCCATGTTTGCATTGCCACCCACATAGATACATCAGAATGGTAAGTGACAGCAGCAGAACTATCTCCTTTTATAACATGAATAAGAAAGAGACTATATATAGCTAGAAGAAATCTTAATCTCTCCTTTGTTTCAACTTTTTTTTTTATTGTTCTTGACTTCATTCATTGTTTCTTCTTTCTCTTCCACTAAAAAAAGAAATGGGTTTGAGATCGTTGAATAATATTTCTCGGCTGCTTTTTGCATGGAAAAATAGGTTCAGCATCTCATAGAAAGATGCTTGCTCTTACGCATGTCCAGAGACGATTGCGTCGAGGCGCTTGCAGAGCATGCCAGAATCCGGCCACTCGTCACGCTTACAGGTTCAGCATCTCTCTCTCTCTTTCTCTCTCTCTCTCTCTCTCTCTCTCTCTCTCATGTGCATGGTTGTCTTAATATGTTGTGTAGTGTGGAAAGAGCTAATCAAAGAGAATAGGGACTTCTTTGAAGCATATTATCATGCTATTTCTCCAAGGCCTCTCAACTGTAAGCCCACAAGCTTGTAATGTTATTCCTTAATTTCTTCATCTCCAAAATATAAACATGGAAGAAAGAAAGTAGATTTGTATTTTGACTTTACTTTGTGACTTTATTTTCAGGGAGACCGATTCAGAGGGTATCAAGATTTGGAAGAAGGAAACAATGGAAATGAATGAAATAAGAAGAAGCCCAATCCACTGATTACCATCAAAAAGTTAGTTTACTGTTTTATTTCATATGTCCTAGTTTAGGTGAATGACAAATTACACTACTGATACTAAAAATAAAGAAGAAAGCCCATGAATACTGGGTCTCTGTGTGAACTCTTAAGGTTTTACATCTATTGGAGTTTGGAATAAGTGAATCAAGTGATACTTCATTCTCTTTCCCCTAGATTTAGAACACAATGATCAGCCCAGATGAAAGAGGAAGAGAAAATAAAAGGCAAGTTTTACAAATGTGATCAATGATGCTCGCTCTCACAGAATAATTCATCAATCCCACTGTGTGCATATATATATAATCTCTTGGGTTCATGTTGTGATGAACATTCGTTTTGTGAAAAAGCTTATAATACATTAATACCCTAACTACCCAAGAAAAATCAAATTCCAGCTGCCATATTTAAACCAGTCTTCTGGGTACTGTTGTTTGCACACATACATTTTTATTCCAAACAACAGTACACAGTACCCAGAAGACATACATTAATACCCTAACTACCCAAGAAAAATGTATGTGTGCAAACAACAGTACACAATGTCTCAGACTGGGTACTGTTGTTTGCACACATACATTTTTCATTCAAACTAGTAAATTGAAGTTATAAAACGGGGAGATCAATTGAATCTTTCTGAAATTTGCAATCTATCTCGATCCTAATTAATTATCAAATTATTGTTCAACTTAACAAGATTTGTCAACCAGTGGACCAAATTGCACTACTATAAACAATGTCTGAGAGCACAGAAGCTCTAAGTGGTTCCCAAGTTTTGATGTGACATGTGGAGCATAGATTTCCACAATTCTCTATCGATCGTGATCATGAGCTAAAACCACAACCGTGTCATAACATAATTCAACTAATTCAGCAAATTAAGAGGTCGAAAAATGGTTAATCAGATCCATAGGTATCAAAGGGGAACCCATCTTTGAACCCAAAGAAGGAAAAAGACCTTTCTACTAATTGGTTGAGCCGACTTAGACCCAAATACTAGTATCTTTCATCTACATATAAATTGCCCCTTAATGACACACAGATTCGCCTGCTTCCTTCTACAGGACAGCTCAAATGAAGTGTGCTACGGTTAGGGGTGGATTCGAGTCGAGCCAAGCCAAATATTTAATTATTCGAGCGTGGGTTGCTGAAATTGTATTAGGCTCAAGCTCAAGATTGACCTCGGTTCTGAGAGCACAGAAGCTCTAAGTGGTTCCCAAGTTTTGATGTGACATGTGGAGCATAGATTTCCACAATTCTCTATTGATCGTGATCATGAGCTAAAACCACAACCGTGTCATAACATAATTCAACTAATTCAGCAAATTAAGAGGTCGAAAAATGGTTAATCAGATCCATAGGTATCAAAGGGGAACCCATCTTTGAACCCAAAGAAGGAAAAAGACCTTTCTACTAATTGGTTGAGCCGACTTAGACCCAAATACTAGTATCTTTCATCTACATATAAATTGCCCCTTGATGACACGCAGATTCGCCTGCTTCCTTCTAGAGGACAGCTCAAATGAAGTGTGCTACGGTTAGGGGTGGATTCGAGTCGAGCCAAGCCAAATATTTAATTATTCGAGCGTGGGTTGCTGAAATTGTATTAGGCTCAAGCTCAAGATTGACCTCGGTTCTGAGAGCACAGAAGCTCTAAGTGGTTCCCAAGTTTTGATGTGACATGTGGAGCATAGATTTCCACAATTCTCTATTGATCGTGATCATGAGCTAAAACCACAACCGTGTCATAACATAATTCAACTAATTCAGCAAATTAAGAGGTCGAAAAATGGTTAATCAGATCCATAGGTATCAAAGGGGAACCCATCTTTGAACCCAAAGAAGGAAAAAGACCTTTCTACTAATTGGTTGAGCCGACTTAGACCCAAATACTAGTATCTTTCATCTACATATAAATTGCCCCTTGATGACACGCAGATTCGCCTGCTTCCTTCTAGAGGACAGCTCAAATGAAGTGTGCTACGGTTAGGGGTGGATTCGAGTCGAGCCAAGCCAAATATTTGGTTATTCGAGCGTGGATTGCTGAAATTGTATTAGGCTCAAGCTCAAGATTGACCTCGATTTGAGTTAAATACTTGAGCTTGAGCTTGGCTCGGTTCAAAACTCGCAAGTTTGAGCTCGACTGTAAGCCTTGTTTTTTTTCTAATAAATGAAAAATATACATATAAAAATATATTTTATTTTACATACAAAAAAATTAAGAATTATAAAAATTATTTACTATTATGCATAAAAAATAAAAATGTTATATATAAAATATTATTATATATAATAAAACTTATTTATTATATATGTATTTATATATTTATATGTATATGTATATGTATATGTATATGTATATGTATATGTATATGTATATGTATATGTATATGTATATGTATATGTATATGGTATGTATGTATATAATAAAAAATTATTTATTAATTATACTAGGCTTGATTAGGCTCGCGAGCCTCATGAGCCAAGTTTCATTGGGCTCAAGCTTGGTTCAATTAGAAAACGAGCCTATATATCAAGCTCGAGCTCGGCTCGAAGCTTGGTTTAAATCAAGGCAAGCCAAGCTCAAATAGCTCGCGAGAAGCTCGACTCGTGGCCATCCCTAGTTGAGGTCAACGTACCAATCTGCAAAAGGAAAAGAGGATCAAAGTGTTTGGGTGTTTAGACCCAAGGTGAACACTGATGCTTAAGTCATTCGAGCTAGGTGAGATAGAGAACAAGAGAATGAGAGCAAGTTTGCACTTAATTGTGTGTTCCTTTGTGAAGGAGAATCAAGTCATTTGTATAGGTGTTGGGGTCCGAGTTCCGTGTTTGAGATATCTATGAACATTAGAAAAAAAACTAGCAGTTCACTTCTTAGTTGAATGTTTAGAGTCACCACCCACCAAAATCACAAAGTAGGGAGTGATGGGTCTCCCGAATAATTGCAATTAAACCAAAAAAAGGGACTCCAGGCCTTGTCACCAAAGATGTAAGTAAGCTGAGAGAGAAAGAGAGAGAGAGAGAGAGAGAGAGAGAGAGAGAGATAGAGAGAGGGAAGGGGTTAGGCACCCCTCTCTCTGACCGGTGCAGATATTAATTCCATTCCCTGAAATCACATATGAGAAGAAGGCAATAGAAGAAGAAATTTGTCTTCCACCTGCAATGGGAAGGAACTTCTGTAACTGGGCATCTCTTCCTTCCCATTTAATCTCTTTTTAGGTATAGGGGCCTAAGCAAAAGGGTGAGACTACATTCCCACCCCTTTTCTATCAGGACCCCACAATCTTATTTGGTCGATCAACTGGAAGAAGGAGAGAGAGCCCTTGAATTTCTTCCTTCGATTGCAAGAAGAAGCAAGCACTTTTGTCTTGAGAAAAACTCAAAAAAAGAAAAATAAACAAATAAAAATAGATGGATGAAATTGCAAAGATATGAGGTATGAATCTCACCTCTTGTAGCCTTCGAAGGAAGAAATTGATGCTGTTGTTTAAACTTGGAGACTAACAAATTCGAGTTGGATGGCAATGGTGTTGGAGCTGAATGATAATGACATCAGTGGACGTAGAATGGAGGTATGTTCGATGGCCTAGGCTGAAGGGATAAGAAGCCTTCTCTCTTTCTTCTCTCCACTCTCTTTCTCTTTATTCACTCTCCCCAGAACATCCAAACTCCTCCGACCTCTATTTTCTCCTCTATTCGCAAAACCCCTCTCAAAAGGCCCCCTTCTGAACTCTCAGACCCTCTTCCCAAAAGAAAAACAACGAGAGAGAGAGAGAGAGAGAGAGAGCCCTCTTCCCAAAAGTGTTTGGGGCATTTTCCCGATGTTCACAATATCCGAAGATGTCAGGCCTTATCAGCAGTTATCTTCGGGGCACATTCCWCCCATGTTAGTGGCAGACGTCATCTGATCTCCTTGAGTTATATAGAGGACAAGGTTGTTGGGAAATGGGGTTACTGTAACTTTAGAGGAGAAACTCTAAGGCGCGTCTGAAGATACTGTCTTTAGAACATTATTTTCCCCCACTCAGTTTCACTGAGTTTGTTGTTTGGGTTACAGGCAAATCCGTTCCCAGGATACAACAGAGCCTTGGGCGAGAATCTACAACCAGCAAAGTTGAAGAATCTTCGAAGATACCTTCTATGAGATTGTAGTAGACCGGAATGAGAGAGAGAGAGAGAAAGTGGATTTTGAAAATGTGTGTTTTTGAAGTCTAATTCATGCTCCTTAAATAGTTTATGAAGAGGTATGAAGAAAAGGTAGGTGATGGTTCAAATAAGGCACCTTGAACAGTCACAATTTCAAACATTGTGACTGTTTAAAAGGTACTTAACAGTTAATGACTGTTAACTTTGAATTGTGCCTCTTGATCACACCCGATCGAATGGTGACCGTTGATCTCATCAACGGTCAGCATTGCACCAAAACCAAAGCTGTTTTTCGTGAGCCATGCGAAGTGCAAGCAAAGTGCACCTCATTGTGCCGCATACACACGCACGCACGCGTGTGTTCCGTTATTTGACACATTTCATAACTTCATTAAGAGTTTAACTCAACCTCTCATCATAACGGGCATCACTGTTTATGTTGTGATGGAAAATTTCTCAATGCCAGTGCTAACAGTCACATTGTTGTAACTAGTTGTTACCCATTAAACCCAATACTGATGGTTTTCCAGTTCAGGTCGGATTACCATTACAGGTGACTAAGTAAAGGGTTTTAATTCCATCTCTTTGGTTGTCATTCTTACCAATTCTCTGGCCAAGCCCTTGGTAAGAGGATCAGCCAAGTTTTTACTTGACCTCACATAGGTTATAGTGATGAATCCATCTTGAATCAATTGCCTAACAAATTCATGTCTGAGACTTATATGTTTGGACTTACCACTATAGGTACCAATGTAGGCTCTTAACAGAGTTGCCCCAGTATCACAGTAAATGGAAATTGGAAGCATAGGACTAGGCCGAAGTTTTATATCCAATAATAAATTCATAATCCATTAAGCCTCTTTTCCAGTAGGCGCCAAGGCTATGAATTCAAATTTCATGGTCGAGTGAGATATACAAGTTTGTCTCTTGGATGCCCAAGAGATCGCACCCCTACCAAGGACGAAAATCCATCTAGATGTGGACTCATTATCTCCATTACCGGTAATTCAACTTGCATCAGTGTACCCTT